AGATCCTACATTGAAGTCTGGGCCTCCTAGATCCTAGATCCTAAATGTAAGTCTGGGCCTCCTAGATCCTAGATCCTAGATTTAAGTTTGGGCCTCCTAGACCCCAGATCCTACATTGAAGCCCGGGCCTCCTAGATCCTAGATCCTAAACGTAAGTCTGGGCCTCCTAGATCCTAGATCTTAGATCCTCGATTGAAGTCTGGGCCTCTTAGATCCTAGATCCTAGATGTAAGTCTGGGCCTCCTAGATCCTAGATCCTAGATGTGCGCCTGGGCCTCCTAGGTCGTAGATACTAGGTTGAAGCCTGGGCCTCCTAGATCCTAGATTTCAGTCGGCCTGCACGCCCGCGCGCGCGTGGCCGGCCAGAGTTCCGACGACACGCGATGCGTTCCAGGAAGTCTGGGCCACCTAGATTTACGTCGGGCGTGTCCCTCCACGGTGGGTGGACTAAAAGTCTCCACACTTGTCTCGCCAAGACCTTGGGTTATAGAAGTGTGTCAGACCAAGATGTATACCCCCCTTCCCCTCAATTCAAAGTTGGCGGGCTTAGGCGCAAGGCCAAAGGCCAGGGACAAAATGTGGACACTTCAATTTTGGGTTGGGGGGGAGGGGTGCGAAGCAAGGACATTTCGCAGTTGTGGTTTCTACCCTGTGGCATCGCGTTCCGCCATGGGTGTGGGCACTTTTTGTCGGGGCACCGTACAGGAGGAGTGTTCAAAAACAGTCAAGACATAGTCTCCGGACAGGCCCGACCTAATCTTAGATGGGGTCGGAGAAGATGGGGTCGGAGGATCGCTCCAATGCATCGGCGATGCGGCTCGATGTTTGGCCCAATTTTCTCCACGCCGACGTCGCCGATGCATCGCCGACGCCTCCAGTGCATCGCCGATGTATCGGCGATGCGGCGAGATCCTCCCGCCCCATCTACTCGGACCCCATCTAGGAGGCTTCCAGAGATGGCCGTGGCTTCGAGGATGGAAGGAGCTGTCATCTCTTCCGCGGCGGAAGGCCGGCGGAAGCAAAACGAGGCCGCCTCCGCCGGCGGAAGTTCGGTGGAAGGCGGCGGAAGGAAAAAATGTGCCCCCAGGAGATGAAAGCGTTTTGGGGCTCAGGGTTTCCGAAATCGCCCACGTGAGCGACGCCAAGGTGCCGTCTGGACGGTCGCGCGCGAGCGGCCCGCGGTTAGGGCCGCGCGAAGGGGTTTTTGCGTCTCCGCTGCAGCGTGCCGTGCGGGCGGCCCGCGTAAGCCGCCGCGCAAGGTCGCGATGCCATCTCGCGCAAGACCAGACTTATGATGTTCCAACTTACTTTCGCCTTGATCACCAGAAAGAGTTTCGAGCACCAGAATTGGGTACCGAAGCTCGAGGGTTTTCACGTGTCGGGCCCTGGGAGACACTGCTTCGACACTCTTTCGACACTCTTTCGACACTTGTCCGGGCGCTCGGGATGTGGTCCTTAAGTACGATGGGAGCAACAAAAGACCAGGCCCGTGTTTCGTCGCCCATGTGTTACTCAAACAGTGGCGAAGCGTCCTGGCGTGCCAAGAGCCTACCAAGCCGTTCTAAGAACCTGTGTTGCGGATTCCACGAAATGTTCCTAGAACATTCCTGGCTGGGGCTGTCGTGGTTTAACACATCGGGTTCACGTTCTAAGAATATTGTTTTTGTTCTGAGATCATTTTGGGGTTCTGAGAACATGTCGTGGCAGGCCTCTAGGAATGCCGGGACGGTCGGTCCCTGATCAAGATTCGTGGCCGGTCCAGGGCGGAATCTATTGCGAAGAGCTTTGGCAGGGCAGCTCGCAGCCCAGGAGGAGACCGGCGGCCACCGCACATGCCGGGCCCCCGTCCGTGCGCAGGAGGCGAGGCCCCCCCGAGGCAGGGAGCCCAGTCGCCACATGGATAAGACATGTAAGGGGCACGCGCAGGTGCCAGCGGGAATGAATCCAGGCAAACCTCGAGCAGTGGCGAAGCGTCTGCTTGTCTACAAGACCACCGAAGAGCGTTCTAAGAATCTGCTTGGTGGTCTGCACAGAATGTTCTTCGAACATGTCTGGCTGAGACTGTCATGGTTTAGTAAATCGTGCGAATGTTCTAAGAGATTTGCTTTGGTTGTTAGAACATGTCTTTGGTTCTACGAACATATCGTGGTAGGCTTATAGGAATGTTGGGACGGTCGGTCCCAGCTCAAAAACCAGATTCGGGCGAGCCCCCCGAGAAGAGGACGACGATAAGCAGGACCCCCCGCAACACGGGACACCCCTCTTCCCAGCCGCATACCTTACGCGAGCCGCCTCGGCATGAAGCAATGGCGGGTTCCTCGCACCATATACCCAGGATCACCCGCCAGAACGGAGCCAGCAAGCAGGTGTCGGCAAAACTCGCGCACCAATGCCATGAACCGGAGCAGGGCGCAGGGAGGAAGGCAAGAAGCGTCAAGGAGCCCCGTGCGCAAAGGAGCCCCGAGCGCCGCACGGCCCCTCCCCATGAAGCGCAGGACCCCAAACCCAGAGTCTCCGCGACAGGCCCTCTGGCCGCTTGCGTCGTGGGGAAGCCCCAGTCCGTGCACACCTCTGCCCCGCAGTGGAGGTAGGGGCCGCCTCCAGATGCCGCTGAGCGGCTCTGTACACGCCGCGTTGCGTGCGGCCCCGGCCCTCCGGAGGGGCGTGGGGGGGTGGGGCACTGGCGCGCCTGCCCGCGGCTGCTCAGATCTGTTTGGAGTCCCGCAACTGTGCGGTGACAGACCCGTGCGGTGACCTAGAAATCCCCCAAGACCTCACCGCACGATCCGCCACCGCACGGCCTTGGGACCCCAGAGGCCAGGTCTGGACCCAAACGCTGTTTTGCTGGACTTCGGCTGTGTCTTGTTTTGTACAGTCAACCCGCAAAATAAGGATGGGCAGCCTTCCCAAGGATACCCTTGCATCGTTGTCCCTTCGGCCCATCCTTGGCCACTTCTCTGGCCGTGCCCCGCTCGAAAAGCATCGAAATGGCCCTCCAAGGCCCTTGCATCCTTATCGCGCATCCTTGATATACGGGTTGACTGTAGAGCAAAACGGAAAACAAAACGAAGACAAAACGAAAAACAGCGTTCAGGTCCAGCCCCGCCGGAGGCCCCCGTCGCCCGAGGCGCCCTCGGAGAGGGCCTCGAGCCCCAAGGCCGTGCGGAGGCCCCGCAGTCCCCACCGACTCGCCACGCGGTGCGGTCACCACCCCGTCGTGGGAGGCCCCCCGAGACGGTCAGAAGGGGAAAAAGCACGCAGACACAATCAATCGTCGATTCCCCGGAGAAGATATGGGAAAATATGGGAAGTGGGGAGAAGACGAAATTCCAGAACATCTGGGAAAAGATTGGGAATCCTGCTATTGGTGTCTATTTATTTGTGTGTCCTAGGGCCCCTTCAGATTGGGCCGAAGAGCCGCCAAGAGGGGGGTGTCCGGGTGTCCAAGAGGGGGGGGTGCAAGTCATGACCGGCGGCATGTGCGCGGCCCAGCGGGGGGGCCAGGGACGTAATGAAATAAGAAGAGGCGCCATGAAATCTGGGGAAATATCATGGCCCACGCCATGATATCCCCCCCCCTAGTCATCACCCCCCTCTCTTCCGCCCCCGACTTAGCGCCGCGCACACTCGTTTTTCTTGTACATATGTACATATATATATGATAAAACATGAATAGAAAGAGTTTCACGGATTCCCACGAGTCATCACCCCCCTAGTCATCACCCCCCCTCTTTGCCGCCCCCGAGATGGGACCGAAGCGCCGCACGTCCCAGCTGCCCGGGACATGTCGGATTCGACCCTGAGCGTTTGCCCTCGACTTGGCCTTCGGTGCCTGCCGTCGGGCCCCAGGATTAAGTTATGCGCGCCCAGGAATCTTCAAACATAACCACAATATAATAATGATACTGGCAATAATAATAAATAATAATAAAAATAATAAGAAGAAAGCTAATACTAATAATAATAATAACAATAATATTAGTATTAACAATACGAATAAAGATAATAATAGTAGTACTGGTAATAGTAATAATAATCATAATAATAATAAATCAACAAACAAATAAAGACATGAACAAATAAATGATTATATACACAGATACATATATAAAGACCGGGGACGATTTTTGTAGTATGTTCTGACTATGTTGGCGCACCTTTTGAATACTTTTCATTTTTCGCCCCAAGTCCGCCTGTAGGGGGACATGCCCGACCTAACCTCAGGACCATCAAACATTAATCTGGGACGACAAACTGCACCCAGGGGAATGTGTCGGGACCTCTGGGGCCGCCGATTCAAAAAACACATCGTCGAATGCATGGGTCGGGCCAGTATCTCAAACTTCCGGCGGCCGTTCAGGGCGATTCGGGCACCTCCGCAACGCTCTCGACGAGGCGCAAATGCCGAAAGAGCGCCCCGAGGCTGGAAGACCTCCAGGAACCGACGAAGACCCCCGAGAATTTCAAGCTTCGAGCTTCGAATCTGGCAGGCCTACCCTGACATTCGCCGATGTGATTTTTGTCCATCCAGTCCCATTTCCGACCCCCTGCCCAGGGGTAGTTTTTTCCCTGGATGCGCTTTTGGCGGCCCCGGATCCCGATATGACGGCCCCCGCGAGGGCCGAAATCGAAGGACATTTGCCGGTTGAAAAAGTCAAATCGCGGCGCATCGCCGATGCATCGCCGATGCACCGACGACCTCGGCGATGCATCGAAAACACACCGGCGTGGAGAAGATCGAGCTCCGAGCAGATGGGGTCGGAGGATCTCGCCGCACCGCCGATGCACTGGCGGCGCGGCTCGACGTGGAGCCCGACCTCCTCCACGCCGGCGCCGCCGAGGCATCGCCGAGGTCGCCTGGTGAATGGGCGATGCATCGGGCGAGGCGTCGGCGGTGCGGGCGAGCTTTCGGTGCAGGTCCGCCGCGCGGCCCTCGGCGCCGCCGCCGCGGCGGCCGCCGCGGTCTCCTGCTGCGCCCTGGGCGCGGCGCTGCGGCGGAGCCTGCCGGGCGGCGGCGCCCGCGCCGCGGCCCTGGCGGCGGGTGCCGCGGCGCTGTGGCTGGCCGGGGGGCTGCAGCTGGCCAGGGACCTGTGCGCGCAGGGGCGGGTGAAGGCTGGTGCGATCGAACCCCCCGGGCCCTGAGATCGACCATGATAGCCCTGGTTTCCACCACCACCACCACCATAAGTTGGAGGGGGAGGGGGTCGTCCTCCTCCACCACCTCCTTCTCCTCCTCGTCCTCCTCCTCGTCCTCTACCTCCTTCCCCCCTCCAGCTTATGGTGGTGGTGGTGGTGGAAAACAGGCCCATCAGACTACACGTAAGAGAGGCCCTTCGCCAGAGTGGCCTTGGGTGCGGGCCCACTGGGGTCCTCCGAGCGCCGCGCGCGAGGCGGCAGTGGCATGTGGCGCGCTCGCGTTTGGCCCTCCCCCCCGGCCCCCAAAGGACGCACTCCAAAGGTCACTCTTACCCAGGGTCACTCTTGCGCCCACGGGGGGCATCCCAGCACTGGCTCGTGCGCTTCGATTTGCCCCCCCCCCCCCCCCCCCGCCACCCACCCACCACCACGCGGCCCCCTTAAGCCGCGCACCAAAGAAATGTTCGGAAGCTTGCGTTGGCTCTTGAAGCTTTTCTCGCCTCGCGACGATTTCCATCAGCCGCTCCTCGCCGAGAGTGTTCTGGGGGGCCCAGATCGTCCCAAACGGCCGCAAGAAGCCCAAGTTGTGACCCGAAAGCCGACCAGCTCAGACCTCCTCTCGCCGTGAGGAAGCTATCCTGGCGAAGGACCTAACCATATGCCATACGCAGCACATGCAATTGTGAGTACCGCAAGGCAGGTAGGACGCAGAAGGGGGATCTCCCTGTGCGGCCACGAAACGCGTGACGGGTGTAGCGAAATGAAAGGTGGGGACGCATGCGGACGCAGCCATTGGGACCTTCGGTAGAGTTCCCTGCAGGGCAACGAAGCGTGTGAGGGGGAACCTTCTGGGGCCACGGAACGTGTGAGGAGTGTGCCGTCATGAAAGGCGGCGGCGCATAGGGACGCAGCCACTGGGGCCTTCGGTGGAGCCCTCTATGGGGCCACGAAACGTCCTTACCAGGCCCTAGGACCGTCAAGAAACGGCTCGGGCTGCAAAGTCGGCCTCGGGGAAGGAGCCCACACCTCTGGGATGCCACGTTGCGGAGAGAATTGCGATATCGGGGCTCTGGAGTTGGCACGGGGTTCAAGAACAGTCCTAGCCTCGGAGGGGTCTTCGATTAGGGTATTCCGTGGGGCCCTGGGCACTCTGCAAAGGGGCTCGCATTCTTGACCCACGTTCTTGTGGTCATGTTTCGACCGCACGCGAAGAGCGGGTAAGACGACCGGCAGCAAGCAGCCCTTGCCCATTGTGACTAGGACTCGTTGTCGGCAGCGCCGCGGACGCTGTCCACTTGAGACAGACAGACTGTGGCCTGCCCAACGGCGGTCGCTGTCGCTTTGGGCCAGCATACGCTGTTGGGCATTGTACCCGCTATCCCCGTGTCCGCGTCGGACGTGCCAAGAAGGGGGCGCCAGCGCCGCTGGTGACGGCCTGGGAGTCGCTCGAGGCGATTCGCCTGGCCTCGCCCCTGGGCGCGGCCCTGGCGACAGAGCCAGCCGCGTGCCCGCACCCCGAGGGCGGGGCCACCGTGGCCGTGCAGGGGCTGCTGCCGGAGAGCACAGACAGCACCGGGCGCCCGGAGATGTGGTGGTTCAAAACAGGGGCAACGCTAGGGGGGGATAGGCATTAGGGGGGGATACATCGACACGCAATCGCCCATTGATCGCCGATAGGGGCCCGATAGCCCCAACCTGCACAGGAAGGTGCGGATTCACTATCAGGGGCCTATCGCCAATCTATCGGCGATGTATCGCCGATTCCAGGTCGATGCAACCCCCCTATGCCTATCACGCCCTGTCGTTGCCCCTCATCAAAGTCGGCTACACGTAGGAGTGACCCTTCGCCGGAGTGACCTTTGGTGCGCGCCCACTGGGGCCCCCCGATCGCCGAGTGCGGTGCGATAGTGCGCCTTGTGCGCTTGTTCTCGTTCCCCCCGCGGCCCCAAACAAGCCGGGCACCCAAGGGTCACTCTTACTCAGGGTCACTCTTGCGTGGAGCCGACAGAGATGGGTCGGGGGTGGACAGACCTCCTACCCTGTGCAGGGCGCGAAGCATGTTTGTGGGTCACCATACAATTGCACCCCGGGGGGGTCGAGGGTCTCCCCGCGGGGGGGCCGCTGACGTCGAAAAGGGGGGGGGTACTGACGTCGACATGCTGCGGGGGGGGGGGGCCGCTGACATCGATATGCTGCGGGGGGTGGGGCAGAAAAACAACTTTTCCGAACCCCCCGGCGGCGAAGAAAAATAGAGCCCTCTTCGCTGGACTGTGCGATTTTTCGGGGGGCAGAATTTGGATTGCCATGCTCGAGTCCGTCTATCATGTCGGGCGTCGCCGACCCACCGGCGGTGCCAGGGCGAGGAGAAGGAGAAGGCGGACGAAGGAGGTGGAGGAGGAGGACGGGGGGGGGGAGGAGGAGGTGGACAGAGAGATGGGGAGGCACCACGAGGAGGAGGAGGAGGAGGAGGAGGAGGAGGAGGAGGAGGAGGAGGAGGAGGGGCAGCAGCAGGAGCAGGAGCAGGAGCAGGAGCAGGAGAAGGAGGAGGGAGGATGGACTGGGGGTGGCCTTGCTCGGCCTTGCGGCAGGGACGCATCACGGTCCTCCTCCTCCTCCTCCTCCTCCTCCTACTCCTCCTCCTCCTTCTCCTTCTCCTCCTGATCTTCCTCCTTCTCCCAATCCTTCTCCTACTCCCCCTTCTCCTCATTCATCTCCCCCCCCTCCCCTGCCCCCCCCCCTTCCCCCAGGGATTCGGAATTGGCATCGGCGAGGCATTGGGAGGGAGGGGGGAGGGAGGGGAGAGGGAAGGAAAGTAGGAAGGGCGGAGACGAACGAGAAGAGTGTTCCTTTTTCGCGCTGCCGTAGTAGAATGAACCTGAGAGCGCGCAAAGCGCGCGTGGCTCTAGACCGAAGCGCAAGGAGGCACGGCCCCCCTCATCGTCCTCATCCGCCCCCCCCCCTCCTCCCCTCCTCCTCCTCCTCCTCCTCCTCCTCCTCCTCCTCCTCTCCTCCTCCTCCTCCTCCTCCTCCTCCTCCTCCTCCTCCTCCTCCTCCTCCGGGGGGTGGGTGAGCAGGGATCTAAAGAGTGGGATCACGGTTGTATGTTCCAAACCCTCCTGCGTTGAGTACTCGTTATGAATAGAACGCTGATGTCGCGTCTCTTTCCTCCTCCCGCCTCCTCCTGTCTTCCCTTCTCCTCTCTTCGGGCTGCGATCTGTGAAACTGTCGCCACTTTCGAGGGCTGCTGGGGTGGCCAGCGGAGTGGCGCCCCACGCCGATCTGTGCAACTGTCGCTACTTTTGAGGGCTGCCGCGGTGGCCATCGGAGTGGCGCCCTACGCAGACTCAGATTAGACCTCGCCATCCGCCATCCCCTGGGGGGGGCTGCGATTTGTGAAACTGTCGCCATGTTCGAGGGCTGCTTGGGTGGCCAGCGGAGTGACGCCCTACGCAGACTCAGATTATCAGCGTCAGACGTCGCTCCGCTGGACCCCCGAGCAGCCCTCGAAGTGGCGACAGTCTCGCAGATCGCACCCCCCCCAGGGATGGCGAGGTCTAATTTGAATTTGCGTGAGACGTCACTCCGCTGGACCCCCCAGCAGCCCTCGAAAGTGGCGACAGTTTCGCAGATCGCAGACCCCGCAGGGATGGCGAGGTCGAATCTGAATCTGCGTAAGACGTCACTCCGTTGGACCCCCCAGCAACCCTCGAACGTGGCGACAGTTTCGCAGATCGCAGCCCCCCAGGGACGGCGAGGCCTAATCTAAGTCTGCGTGGGGCGTCGCTCCGCTGGCCACCCCAGCAGCCCTCGAAAGTGGCGACAAGTTCACAAATCGCACCCCCCCAGGGATGACGACGTCGCGAGGTCTAATCTGAATCTGCGTAGGGCGTCACTCCTCTGGACCCCCCAGCAGCCCTCGAAAATGGTGACAGTTGCACAGATCGCAGACCACCAGGGATGGCGAGGTCTAAAATTTTGAGTTTTGTTTTCCGAGTCGGGTGTCCGCATTCATAGACATTCGTTCTGTGCTGGTGCATATAGATACATTTGCGTTGCCAGCGTGCTACTGATTTGTTGTATTTT